CCACTGCAGGGGTCAACAGTTCCAGTAAATAGATTTGCTGCTAAAGCGGCTAATGTTAGCGGCTAGCCTCAGGGTTTGGTTCACTGTTGTGTTGTGTTCACTTCTCTAATGTGATTAAAAAGGAAAGTGAAGTTGGAGCTTTTTCCTCAGAGCAGAGCAATCGATCGCCTATCTGTGCTAATGGCTGCTTTTTTATGGAGTCTATTTAACACAGAGAGAAGCAGCACTTGAACTCAGCACCATCAGACGAGTTCAAGGGACGTGGAAAATATTTCATTTATTTATTTATTTCCCTCTCTCCCCCCTCCATCCCTCCCCCCTCCCTCACACTCTCATGGATCGTATTCCAGTACGACTGTAACTTATTCAGTTAATATTTTATAAAATATAAAATAAATCGCAACATTAATATTTTATAAAATATGAAATAAATCGCAACTTTTTTTTTTTTTTTACTTTTTTTGTTCAAATTATCTGAATAATATGTTTGGTTTTTTTGGGCTAATTTCATAATTAATAATATTATTTTTTATAACATTTGTCCAGGTGGATCTTTCACTCAGTCCTGATCTACACCGTCTGTTTCTACGGCCGCTGCGACGCCGTGGAAACGCCTGATCTGTTCGTCTGGACTTCGTTCACGCGTCCGTTGGTTCATTTCTGGGTTTTTCCTGAACTCCGCTCCGACTCTGATTCCGACCTCCAGGAAGAACCTCGGTCCTGGTTTGACTGAATCGTCATCCTGTTCAACAACCATCAGTTGCCTGGCAACGGTGTTTGGTGTTGGCATCAACAGGTTTCCAGCCCACAGTCTTTGAAGCTAAGAATGGTAACAAAAGAAAACGAAAAAAAAAATCTGACATTAAAATGATTAGTGACATCATCTTAATGTCAGATTCTTCGTAATACGCCCCCTGGTGGTTTGGCATCGGAGCACCTGTGATAACTGATAACAGGTTCTTGTGTATAATAATATAATATATGAGGTGTGGTTCCACTGAGATGTCCCCCAAAGGAGCAGTACGAGTACACAGAGTACACAGAGTACACAGCAGTACATGTGAGTACATGTGAGTACACAGCAGTACATGTGAGTACTCTCCACTGTATGTTTAATGTATGAACGAATGGAAGGGACTGCATTAAAGATGAGGAGCTGAGTGTTCACTGAGCAGCGGGGGGGCGTGACCTACTCACAGAGAGGGAGAGATGTTCATATGTGGAGGGTCATAAAGGTCACCTGACCTTTGACCTCTGTATACGTGCCTGTAACATTTCTTCCTCGGTGGTTAAATTTAATCTCGCTGAAAACCAAACAGGAAATGGAATTTTTACTTTTGAGCGTCCTCCGAGCGACAGACGGCGGCGGCGTGAGGTCTGTGGAGCGTTGGTACAGACGGAGGTCCACGGACCGCAGGCTGAGGTCGGAGGTTTGATGCTGAGGGAAGAATCAGCAGGAGATTGTTTTGTTGGTTTGGAAAATGATGAGTTTCTGATTCTGACTTCATTGGTTAAATCATTGATCACGTGACCTTATGACCTTATGACCTCACTGTCAGGGCCTTTGATCACTTTAGTTTCTCTATGAAGATAAAACAGTATGATTTTTTTTAAATAAAAATTGTTCTTGGTGAGGAGGGAGGGGTGGGGGGGTGATGGAGGTGGGGGGTCCGTTCACTCCAATCAACGGCCCCCCCCCCTGGGGCTTGGCTTCAGTCCAATCACTGCCTTTTCACTGGAGTTCAAACACTTCTTCCTCCACAATCTAAACAATCGATGAGAGGCGGCCTCTGATTGGTCGGTTCAGCTCAGCAGTAATTGTACATATTTCTCTCTTTGGCCTCGAGGTGGAAGAAGAAACAAAGGTTAAATTAGCAGCAATGTCCCTTTAATCACTTTAATCACGGCTCTGAGTGGAAACGAACAAAGATGAAGAGGAAGAGGAAGAGGAAGATGATGAAGAGGAGAAGGAGATGAAGATGAAGAGGAAGAGGAAGGGGAGAGGAGGAAGATGAAGAGGAGATGAATATGAAGATGAAGATGAAGAGGAAGAGGAAGATGATGAAGAGGAGATGAATATGAAGATGAAGATGGAGAGATGAAGATGAAGAGGAAGAGGAAGGGGAGAGGAGGAAGATGAAGAGGAGATGAATATGAAGATGAAGATGGAGAGATGAAGACCCTCCCCTGTGTTCAGGAGAACAGTCTGTGCTGTGACAGAACTCAGGACTTTGCTCAACGGCACTAAAACGAACACAGCGTCCAGATGGCTGTGGTTCAAGAGGTCCAACTTCACAGCCAACACTCTGGGACCCGAGCCAATGTTTGATCCACCGGGCTGTTGAAAGGCCCCAAACCAGCCGTTAACCTCAGGACTGATCCCAGTGATGACATCATGGTGACATCACTGGGCCGAGGTTTATCCTCCTTCACACGTGAGTCACATTAACACCAGGGGTTTCACCCTCACCCCCCCTCACCCCCCCTCACCATCCTGGGGCTGGAGTTCTTACCCACCGGCCCGTCACTGGTCCACGCCCCTTACTTATTGTAAGTACAGAAAAAAAGCAAGAAAAAGATTTTTTATAAATATTTCTTGAAGGAAATGATTCGTAACGTTGGTCTGTAGATAAAAAAACTGTAAAAAA